TGGATTTTACTTTGGTCCTTATAGTTTTAATTGTAATGTATTGAACTTCATATTTTTTAATTGGTTTCAATTAGGTCCAACTGTTAATTGTTGTTAGCGATTTGGATGCAAAAATGCATGTCAATATCAAATAACTTTCTTTGATCATGTGAAGCTCTCATGAATCTCACGTGGATCACATGGAATTGACGTGGAACTCAAGTGTATTTAATTCTTGTCTAAATTCTTAAGATGAAGTTGACAATTAAACTTAATATACACAACAATGTGTCATACTTGAAACTATGAACACTAAAGTGTTTTATTTAATAAAAATTATATGGATGCAAAATTTGATTTACCCTTCGAAATATAATGGCTCAATATGCATGAAACTTTAATTTTATTTTATGAATCCATAATACGTTTGAGTTACTGATTTCATTTAATACTAAATCCCCCTTTTACATGATTCCTGGTTTCCACATATGCTTTGCCATTCTTACTACTTTGGACCATTATTCAGTGCTTTTGGGACTATAGAGTAAAGTTTAGAAGAAAGCAAGCTGGGCCATTTTCAAAGTGCATAAACAAAATTTGTATACTGTTTGAAGTCATTGTCCTTGCCATAAACCCTGTTTACACTAATAGTGGGGGGGAGAGAAAGAGTCTTATTTAATTTTGGGCCGCATCGACGCCTGGGTGCGGTGAAAAATGGGCAAAGGTTTCCACGTTTTTCTGGACGAGCGCGGGTAAAGAAGCTAGTCCAAGACTATAGGTTTAGGATAGCCACTTGGAACATAGGAACCTTAACTGGTAGTACGATGGAATTGGTAGATGTTATGATTAGGAGGAGAGTTAGTGTAGCTTGCATACAAGAAACTAAGTGGACGGGAGAGAAAGATAGGGAAATTGAGGATACTTGTTTTAAACTTTATTATAGTGGTAAGGATAGACACAGGAATGGGGTAGGAATCATAATTGCCAAGTGTCTTGTGGAAAGTGTGGTGGTGGTCACTAGGAAAGGAGATAGGATTATGCTAGTTAAACTAGTTATTGGAGGGAATATAGTGAACATTATTAGCGCTTACGCCCCTCAAGTAGGGTTAGATGATCAAACTAAGAGAGATGTTTGGGAGCAAATGGATGAGATCTTACAGGAGATACCCGTAGGAGAGAACCTGGTTATAGGTGGAGATTTTAATGGCCATACGGGCATAGATAAACTAGGTTATGAAAGGGTGCATGGTGGATACGGTTTTGGTGACAGAAATGAGGCTGGAGAGAGAATCTTAGATTTTACGTTGGCTTCTAACCTGGTGGTGGCCAATACTATGTATAAGAAGAGGGAGGAGCATTTGATAACCTTTAAGAGTGGATTAGTTAAGAGCCAAATATATTACTTCTTAGTGAGAAAAGTGGACTGCCTAAAATGCAATGATTGTAAGGTGATTCCTGGAGAGAGTCTGGTCTCTCAACATAGGATTTTGGTACTATATTTATGTTTTAGAGGGCAATACCAAGCTAGGAAGGATGGTGGACGTCGTAGGACGAGATGGTGGGACCTAAAAGCGGATAAACTAGAAATATTTAAGAATCGAATGGATAAGGAAGGTACTTGGGACTTAGAAGGTAATGCTAACACTATGTGGAATTCGATGGCCAATTGTACGAGGAGAATCTTAAGGGAAGTGCTTGGAGAGTCGAAAGGAACGGGACCCAGCTCTAGGGAAACTTGGTGGTGGAGGGAAGAGGTTCAAGCGGTAGTTATGGCAAAAAAAGAGTGCTTTAAAAAGTGGCAGAAGGATAGAACTGAGGAAAACCTTAAGAGCTATAGATTGGCTAATAAGGAAGTCAAGAAAGTAGTGAGAGAGACTAAGTTGAAAGTTTATGATGACCTATACACTAGACTAGATAGTAAGGAGGGAGAGAAGAGGGTATACAAACTTGCTAAGATACGGGAGAGGAAAACAAGAGATTTTAATCAAGTAAAGTGCATCAAAAGTGAGGATTCTAAGGTATTGGTGAAGGATGATGAGACTAAGGAAAGATGGAAGAATTATTTTGAGAAACTATTAAATGAGGAACATGGAGGTACGACAATAAGGGAAGAGATATAAAATAATACGATAAACCAAGACTATAGAATTTATCGCAGGATTAGGAACTTTGAAGTAGAGA